CTTTCTTTCTTTCTTTCTCCCTTTCTTTCTTTTCTTTCTTTCTTTCTGTCTGTCTGTCTTTCTTTTTCTTTCTTTCTTTTCTTTCTTTCTTTCTGTCTTTCTGTCTTTCTGTCTTTCTTTCTTTCTTTCTTTCTTTCTTTCTTTCTTTCTTTCTTTCTTTCTTTCTTTCTTTCTTTCTTCCTTTCCTTTCCTTTCCTTTCCTTTCCTTTCTTTTCTCTCTCTTTCTTTTCTCTCTCTCTCTCTCTCTCTCTCTTTCTTGACTGAAGGTTGAGTCAGCCTTCCCTCCTTCCAAGGTGAATAAAACAAGGCCCTGGATTGTTTGGGGCAAACAGGCTGACTCTGTAAACTGCTTAGAGAGGTCTGTAAAGCACTGTGAGGTGGTATATAAGTCTAAGTGATATTGCTTGGGAAGGAAGGAAGGAAGGAAGGAAAGAAGGGAGGGAGGGAAGAAGGGAGGGAGGGAAGGAGGGAAGAAGGGAGGGATGGGAGGAAGGAAGGAGGGAAGAAAGAAACAAAGAAAGAAAGGAGGAAGGGAAGAGAAAGGAAGAAGGAAGGGATGGAAAGAGGGAAGGAGGGAGGGAAGAAAGAAGGAAAACACTGAGAGAGGAAGGGAAGAAGGAAGGGATGGGAAGAATGAAGGGAGGGAGGGAGAGAAGAAGGAAGGAAGGATGGAAGGAAGGACTATAAAGTGTTATATAAGTCTAAGGGTTATTGCTAGTGTGAACACCCTCACTGCCATCCTGTCCCAAGGTTATTCTCCGTAAATCCTTCATTCCAATTCATGAGAAAGACATGAACGCAATCGTGTTTATTGTCCAGGTGTTCGCAAAAAACGTACAATAGCGTGCATAGACTTGAATTATAGAACGCTTTGCTTGAAATATGGAGCTGAAAGTTGCTTGCTTCAAGCCAAAAGGGTGGCAGGTGACAGAAATAAAGGCCTATACAGGCAGCCCTCTACTTACGAGCACAATGGAACCCAAAACTTTAGTCGCTAAGCGAGACATTTCTTAAAACAGGTTTTGCCCCATTCTATTGCTTTTTTGGCCACCGTTGTTAAGGGAATCGCTGCAGTTGATTAACAGGGTCGTTAACTGAATTGGTTTCCCCATTGACTTTAGGTGCCAGAAGGGAATCACCTGACTCCAGGGATATTGTGACCGTCATAAATATGAGCCAGCTGCCAAGCATATTAATTTTGATCAGGTAACGGCGGGTGTTGTATTGTTCCTTTAAATCCAGACAAACAACCCCCAGTTTAAAGGTTTTAAGTGGAGTTTCCGTGCAAGTTGTAAAGTCTTTGTGGCAAGTGCGATGCTCGCAACCCTCTCCCCCCCCAAAAAAAACCCCAAACTCACTCTCGGCAGAAATAACAATGTAAAACTCAAGCACGCAAGCGGAACTCAGCCGATGAGAGGAATTAAACTATCTTAACATCTCCCTTAGAGAAGGAAACAAAAAAAAACGTTTCAGAAAAAGGAAGTGGCGTGGGGACGAGGCTGGCGTGGCCAACGCTCGGTGCCTACGTGTGGGACGTAGGGTCAGTGATACGCAACCAAGGGCACCCTTGCAAAGCGACGACAGCCGGAAAACCTGTGAGTCAGAACTCCAGCAACTGCCCTAATTAAATCATGATTCTCGAGCCAAACTTCAAAAACTTCAAAGGATTTATGAGAGGCGACCTATTGGCACTGCCCTGTAGATCGCCTCTAATAAATCCTTCAAAGTTTTTTGAAGTTTGGCTCGAGAATCATGATTTAACTAGGGCGATTGCTGGAATCCTGACAGCAAACCGACTCTGGCCTACATAATTTACAGTCCCCTGTGACCCTGTTTCCCCTGTCCCCCCCAAGTTTTTTATTAAACCAGATTCTCCAATTGAGCCAGTTCATTGTCTGGGTGTCACGTTCTCCAATTAAATATATTCGCGGGCAAAAGATCTGGTAGTTTAGTTACAATATTTTAAAGATAAAGAGTTGGAATGTACTTTTGCTTTCAAACTATTCTTCCCCCACCCTTCTTTTAAGGGCAACTACTCAAACAGGCATAGGAATGTTTTGTGAGTTGACACCTGTATCGTTCTACTTTTATTTCGATGCAGTGCGATAAAACGGGAAAAGGTGCCCATGTCCTCTCCATGCCAGAGGGCACTGGGTGTTAATTGTTATGGTGAGCGGGGAAGGCTGCCACAATTGTGGCAGTTAAAGCAACAGTGTCGGGGAAAAAGACGGGCAGGTATTGTACCCGCTCCTTGCAAATTTCCACTATAATAAATGAGCTGCGTTGAGCTGCGTTGGTAGCAATGGTGAGAGGAACGGGGTTGCTCATTGCAACCATTCCAAAGTGTATAGATTGTGGGGTGGGTGGGAGGGAAGGGTCACCCATGCCCCAAGGGTTTAGTTGCCTTGGAAGCCCTGTGCATGAATGCTCCCAGGGGCTGTGGCTTTTTTACGGCGGGCGATGCTACGTTCGCAGCTTCACGCAGGCTTGCGTCCCCGGGCGTACACAATTGTTCACGAGGCTGCATTTGCCGGCGCAGGTAAACCTGTGTGACACCAGATTCTGAGGTGCAGGTCAGCTTTTGCAAAAGTGTGCTGGCGGGCGCAACGCAACCTTTTGCGTGACTTTCCACAACGCTGCGTTGGTAGGCGCCGCTTTTTGCGGTGCTGCATTTGTAGGCGCTTGTCAATCCTGCGGCACCTAATTTTTAGATGAACATAACCTTTTGCCAAACTTCATTGGCAGCAACCTTCTGTGATGCAGCTTTTGGGGATGCATGCAACATTTTGCGATGGTGCATTTCTAGGTGCATGTAATTGTGGCAATGTCGAATTTGCTGACCTGTGTAACTTTCTGCAGCGCCAACTGGAGTTTTCACACCTTCCATTTCCAAGTGGTTGTCTGAATGCCCGCTCTCCCTGTAACAGACCACCAGGGCAGGGCTCGGACCCCTTCCCCTCTTCCCAGTCAATGAGGAACTTCGACCTTTGACCTTCCCTGTTTGGCTCAGCATCCACTTCCTTGGAGTTCTGCTGCTCATTGCTGGCTGGAACCCAAACATCAGTCTGTGGAGCCGGACGTGCACCGTGGGTCCTTCCTGAGCAGTTCCCCACAATTCTGCTTGGTTGCCTGCAGTTGCGTCGTATCGCATCAACGTCGTACCACGCCAAGATGGCATGGATCCTTCCAAACATTCAGCGAGCCCGATAAAGAAACAGCATAAAAGTATCAAAATACAAAATAGACGATGCCACGGTGTCCAGCCAGGGTGTGAAGCATAACAAGTGCCGGGAATGCACACTACCCGGCAAGAAACGGGATTGGTTAAACCAGAGTCTACACATGTCGTCACCGAGCTAGTTCCTCGTTGTTTGAAATCTGTTGTCGGATCCCTGCGGTTGTTTGGATTGCAATGTCTGCCACAAAGCGAAGGTGCAGAACCCGGTTAGACAGCCCCCACCACCCTATCCTACCACCTTTTTCCTGCTGGCACCCGGGTGGATGTTGGAAGGACAGCCCCGAAAGCAAGAAAACGGACAATTGCCGGTCCAGAAACTAGAAGGAGCAACCGGTACACTGCTCCGCGCTCGGACGCCCCCGCCATACGGAAGGCAGCAAACAGGGAGGAGGCTCCGTGCCACCTCTCTGGTTCCGCGGAGCCCACCCGGGACCCCAGCCCTGCGGTCTTTCCCGCTGCCTGGTCTTCCTCAGTGGACTTGGAAGAGGCCGAAATAGGTGAGGTAGCGGTCTGCTTTCAGACGGACGTCCGGGATGGTGCGAAGACGGATAGAGGCTTCGGGACGCAAGAGGAGAAGTCCAGACACCTGACACACATGCAGTTCCGGTTCCCGGGGTCCCGAGCTGGTGGGCGGGAACTGCTCCAAACAGCGCAAGGCCAGCTGGCCGCTCAACATCACATCCAGCTTCATGTAGACCGTCTTACCCTCGTTGAAGTGGACCTGGAAACGGGAAGAGGAAGAGAAACACAGATGAGATGAAATGCTGGGTTCAACTCTCAATCAAGGACAGAAAATAACCCCGGAGAAATGTCCTGACAGTGAGGACGATTAACCAGCGGAATTGCCTGCCACTAGAACTTGTGGGTGCTCCAATACTGGAGGCTTTTAAGAAGAGACTGGGCAGCCATTTGTGCGAAATGGTACAGGGTTTCCTGTTGAGGAGTGGGCTAGATTAGAAGACCTCCAAGGTCCCGTCCAACTCAGTTATTCACTAATCCCAAATCAATTAATCAGTGGAATGATTTGATCCAGAAGTTGTGAAATGCTCCAACACTGGAAGTTGTTAAGAAGAGACTGGACAACGACTTGTGTGAAAATGTATAGGGTTTCCTGCTTGAGCAGCGGGTTGGACTAGATGACCCCCGAGGTCCCTTCCAACTCTGTTATTGTGGTTGTAAATCAAACACTAACTGAACAAGGAGTCGTCTATTTACACCTGGTCACAGCCATCGTTGAAAATTACGACCTACTTGAAAAAGGGGAATTATATCTATATCTGAAGTTCTGATGGTCAGCCCCTCTCCCTCCATAAAGGAAGTCCTCGACTTGCATCCGCAACTGAGCTAAGTGAGACATTTGTTAAAGTAGGTTTTGCCCTTTTTAAATGATTTTTCTTGCCGCGGTTGTTAAGCGAAACCCTGCAGTCGATAAGTTAGTCCCACGGTTGTTAAGTGAGTGACTGGCTTCCCCCACTGACTGTCCTCGTCGGAAAGTCGCAAAAGGGGGGATCACATGACCTCTGGGACGCTGCAACCGTTATAAATACGAGTCAATGGCTGAGTGGTCTGGGCTTTGATCCCAGGGCCACGGGGGAGGTTGCAACGGTTGTAAGTGTGAACCGTGGTCCTAAATAACTTCTTTTTCAAGGCCGTTGTAACTTGGAAATGGTCGCTAAACAAACTGTCATAAGTCAAGGACCACACCAGGGTTTTTCCAAAGCTGTCTGGGGAATTCTGGGAGTTTTTTTTCCTTTTCCTTTTTCTTTTATTATGTACAAACAATCCATCTTTTGTTTAACCAGTGTGTCGTCTGGATACAGATATATTGTGCAGCAACACAATTAATACATATTCAAATACCCACACTTTATTCTTATTTTATGCTACTATACATAATAATGTCTAATTATAATAACACTATACATAATAATGTCTAATTATTATAACAAATCCCCTTCTTATCACATTTAATTCTTGTTTATCACTTCTCGCTAATATCGTAAACTAGCTCGATCCCCGTGCTTCGCTACGAAACTCTGTGGTCGGGCTTAGTTTCTGGGGAGGAAAATAAGGAGATATAATCTGTGCCTCTGCCTACCAGCATCCTTCGATTTTCATCTGGCTAGCATCCTGTCAGTGTGGGAGAGAGGGAAGGGCTGTTTGGAAACTGAAACAGTATTTGCTGTGTGAACAAGGAGACAGCAAGGAGCCTGGGCGTGGCTTAGCTCAACTGTTCTGTACTAAAGTTGCTTGGTGCTGTGAAAGCAAAATTGAACCTCCTCTGCTTGTGTTTTGCCTTTGGAAGAGATTTCTTTTTTTCAGGTGGGGAGGGGGAGTAGAACTCCTTAGCATCAGAGCGTGTTAATAATAATAATAATAATAATAATAATAATAATAATAATAATAATATAGGAAACACTCTAAATGCTCTAAATTAGTGAGCCCCTACGACCCAAGAGGAACAGACGTGCCAAATTTCAAGTTTGTAGGCTTGATGGTTCTGGAGATTTTGTGATGATGCGTGAGGGGCCTTTCCCATTTAGATAGATTTCTAATTTCCATTTTTGTTCTCCAGCCATTGATAGAAGAGTTCCTATATCATATAAGCAGTGACGGTGAACCCTTTTCGGCACTGAGTGCCCAAACCAGAACACACATGCATGCGCAGGCCTCTTTTGGGGACGTTTTTGGGCCCGTTTTCCAGACCATTTTCGGGATATTTTTCAGGCCATTTCCAGGCTGTTTTTGGCCATTTTTCGGGCCTTTCCCCCCCCTCCCCCAAAGCCCTGTAAACGGCCTTATTTTGGCCGATTTGGGGGCCAATTTCCAGGCTGTTTTTTTAGACCATTTCCAGGCTGTTTTTCAGGCTGTTTTTCAAACCATTTCCAGGCTGTTTTTCAGGCCATTTTATGGACTGTTTTTCAGGCCATTTTATGGACTGTTTTTAGGCCAAGAATAGCCTGAACAAAACGGCCTGAAAAAGGCCCAAAACACTCTGGTTTTTGGGCGATTTTCAGGCTGTTTTTCAAACCATTTTCAGGTGGTTTTTCAGGCGGTTTTTCAGGCCATTTTATGGACTGTTTTCAGGCCAAGAATAGCCTGAACAAAACGGCCTGAAAAAGGCCCCAAACACTCTGGTTTGGGGGCGATTTGGGGGCCAATTTCCAGGCTGTTTTTTAGACCATTTCCAGGCGGTTTTTCAGGCGGTTTTTCAGACCATTTTACAGACAAATTTCAGGCCAAGAATAGCCTGAACAAAATGGCCTGAAAAAAGCCCAAAACACTCTGGTTTGGGGGCAATTTTCAGGCTGATTTCTGGACCATTTCTAGGTCATTTTTCAGGCCATTTCCCAGGCTGTTTTCAGGCCAGTTTACAGACTGTTTTGGGCCAAAACAGCCTGAAAAACAGCCTGAAAAAAGGTCTGAAAATAGCTTGTTTTTTTTGACTCCAGCGCCCACGAAGATCAGCTGTCCAGCACTCATGGGCATGGCAGATCAGCGGGCGATGGCGTGCATGCACACTGACTCTGCGTGCCACCTCTGTCCCGCATGCCATAGGTGGACTTCAACTCCCAGAATTCCTTGCAATAACAAACTGAATACTATGTATGACATCATGGTCATTTTCTTTAGGAATCGCAAGGAATTCTGGGAGTTGAAGTCCACAACACGGAATTAGCTAACCTTGAAATGCCTTCCCCCCAAGAATCCATCAGGGGTTCTCGTGAACGCCCCCCAACTCCTTCCAATCCTGGCAACCCTCCCTCCTCCCCAAAGCAACCAGAGTCCCAGAATGCTTTGCTCTTCCTACCCACAAGCTCCCTGGCTTTTGAGCTCACCTGGCAATAAAGGTAATACAGGCCCCTTTTGATCACCGTGAACTCGCCGCGGCTGTTGTCGTAGCGCAAGGGGTTGGTGGCGTTGAGCTTCGCTTCTGCCCATCCGCGGATGGTCCCGTTGGCATCTGGAGGGCGAGGGGAGACGGGCGAAGGGAGGGGGAATGAACATGGGAGGGGAGGGGCTGTGGGGAGGCCTCGGCCCTCCCCCTCCCACCGCACAAGGTGGGGAAAGCCACCCAACACAACTGCCCAGGTGCCCTTCCCATGTGCCACCACAATGTCGCCCCACTTTGGGCTGGTGCTGGCTAGGCTGTGCAAGGAGGATGGGGGAGAGGCGGCTGAGGCCAGCCCGGGGGAGGGGCAGCCAACGCGTCCCACCTGCCTTCCAAAAGCTTTCCCCCCACCCCCAGACCCCTAGAAGTGTTACCTGCCTGCATCCCAGCTCGTCCTACGGTGGCTTGGACTGAAAGAGAGAGAGAGAGAGAAAGGGAGAAAGAAGGAAGGAAGGAAGGAAGGAAGGAAGGAAGGAAGGAAGGAAGGAAGGAAGGAAGGAAGGAAGGAAGGAAGGAAGGAAGGGAGGGAGGGCAAGCGAGGATGGGAGGGAGAGAGGGAGGGAGGAAAGGAAGGGAGGAGGAAAGGGAGGAGGAAAGAACGAAGGAAAAGCGAGGATGGGAGGGACGAAGGAAAGGAGATTGGGAGGGAGGAAGAAAGGAAGGAGAGGAGGAAGGAAGGAATGTGACAGGAAGGGGGGAGAAAGGAAGGGAGGAGGAAAGAAGGGAGGAAAAAGAAGGAAGAAGGAAGGAAAAGCGAGGAAGGGAGGAG